TCAAAAAACGAACAGACGTCAGGTGAACTGTGCTAAAGGACAGAAAGATTGCAAGAAAAAGAGTTCATGTTGAACGAGTAATAGGTCTTGCCAAAACATACAAAATTCTAACAAGACCCATGAGCAATTACAGAATCAGCATTGGCAGCGAAGATATATAAGTCTGTTTTATTTGTGCAATTTCTGAGCATCCATCATTCCGGAAAATGCCTAACTGCAATCAATTTACTGGTCAAATGCAAAATTGTGGTAATTCCTATAGAAGAATGTACTCCAGCAGGACTCTTCTGAAATGTTGCTCGTAAAAAAGCTAACAGCTTGGCTACCATTTTCTGTATGAATGTGTCATCCTGGGGATTTTTACTGTAACAAGGTCTTTGAGTGTGTACACCACTAGGAAACATAGCTTCGCATTTGCACACAGCAGCTGACCTTGTATTTGATAATATAGCTATGGTTTGATTTTAGATGCAATGTATTGTCATGGCTGTACAGGTAAGGGACTGTGGATGGTGTGATGAGGTCATTACATGCTGTATATGGGCACTTTACCTCAACAATACTATCTTCATCTATAAACCTGTCTGGTGAGGCAGCAGTTGAGAGTACTTTGTACTAATAAATATGCCACATTGCTGTGTAGCTATTTCCATCTCACTTTCAAACATTTCTACTGCATACCTTCATATTTTAGGCCATGAAGGATTGCCTTTGACCTAAGAGTTTTGGAGTGAGTGAGGGATTTGGCTAAAAGGTCCATATCTTTCCTCTCCGTTGCTTTGCATATTTCCCCGAAGTTGGAAGAGGTGAGGTGGTATGATCGAACGTCCATCCATCGCCTGTTTTTTGCTTGCCCACGGGTAGACATCTCAATTTCTGTGGCCTGCTCGGTGCTGATCTGTGTCACCTATGTAATAATACGAAATGCAAATATATCTTAAAATGGTTTACCAACTTGTTTGGGTCTGTGACTGAGCTATTTGTTATACTCATGCATCTTCCAAATTGTATTAGGTTTGATAGTTCATTGATGAATGTAAATTATGTAAATGTAACCAGATATATATTATTTTTTCATTGTAATATATATATATATATATATATATATATATATATATATATATACTGATAACATGGCATACCATTTGATCCTGGAGGTACTGGTCTTCAGTGGACAGCTTGTGGTAGTCATGATTATGGCAAATAGCATAGGGGTTAGCAGGCGGGTAGAGTTGAAGGACTGGCATCTGTACTCCATCCTGAAAGATGAATTATTATTGTGTTATCACAAGCATTGTGCTCACTTACGTTTGAAACTATATTAACGAGTAATGGCTAATAAAAATGAATTGCTCCATGTCATCAGTTATATACAGTGTTTTTATTGTATTGTTTGTAAACAGTTACAGAGAGATGCTGCAGCATCATATATGTTAAAATGTTATTATACATGATTACTGTCAAAAACATGCAGGAACAGAATAAATTTACCTGACGGCAGAAATTTATGCAGAGATTTCGAAACCTTGAGGCACTGGTAGGCTGGTGCTGGTATCGTTCTGGCCTGGGGTCATAGCAGATACTATCTTTCCTGCGAACACCGCGGAGTGCTTCTGCCTTCATCGGAGACCCCTTGAAGGCGTTCGCTCGGTGGAACGTTTGAAGTACCTGTATGATATAAAGAAATGTTCTCTGGTTGATATTTTGACATAAATTACACTACTTAGATAAAATAATACTGTACAGTAAATATAATAATACACAAGGATGTTATTTAGTTGGTTGAATGAAATATATTTAAAATTAACAAATTCACCATTGCCAGGAGATAAAGTATACATGTGATGACACTCAGTAGAGTAACATATCTTTTGATTAAAAACATTTTTTATTTGAAACCCAAAGGGAAGCAATGGATACATTTGAAATTTTAGGGTTTCAATATCAATGGCACTTAAATGCCATTTTATTTGTAATTTTAAATACCTGAGTACATGTTAGCTCGGTTACGATCTTCCCAGTCGGACAAAAGCATGTCAGTCCATGCAGAATGGCTCCAACATGCTTGCAGTGGGCCGCCGGTCCTTCCCCTGCGCCACACTCGCACTGGCACTCCTCTATTACCCCGTCAGTGCTGATGCAGATGTCTACTTTGTAGGCAGCAGACTTTTTCATCTCTGCCCAAATAATGGCTACAACATATGTTAACGTTTGATCCTGCGAGAGGGCTGCACGCATGGAGCGCACATATCTGGGAACAAAAGAAAAAAGAACATTTGCATTGTATTTATATTATATCTTTCGTTAGAGTGAGGGGGCAAGAATGTAAATATACCCCAATCTGGCCTTCTCATAAGCGTGATGGAGGTCATGGTGGGATACCAGAGTATGTATGGAGTTGGAGAGGGAGCTCCTCCAGATGAATATTTAAATTAAATCTATATATGTAAAACATTCTACTGTAATCAATATCCATTCTTTCTGTTATTATTCATATTATTATTCATATTAACGTGTTTAATTGTACATGTCTGTAATTTATATTTCCTTGTACATGGCCACGCTTTTCTCGTCAAGTTTTTTGTTTATGGCTGCCAAGTACTCCTCAACTCTTGCAGCATTGACCACCGGGAATACTTGCTGCATCCCCCCATGTAGGTCCTTGTATTGGCTGACATCAGGGACGGTCATGCAGAAGCCGGGAGTAGGGTCGTTCTGTCCAGTTGCGTCGGTGGCATCCAAAAACTCCAATCTTCAATGTCAAATAATACTACATACTTACTTTTTAGGCATGGTTTGTTTCAGGTTAACAAAGCCACCCTATTAAAGTCAACATCTAGGTTGACTTTAATAGATAATCTAGATAATGCCGCGTAATAATTATAATGACTCACTCTAACAGTAATTCAGTAACACGGATCCACCCACTTCACTGTTAGTGTTACACCCTGTGTCCGTATATAATCTTAGATATGTAGGCAATTATGAATTAATTAGACCTGGTTTAACTTTTAATACACAATGTACACTAAACTGATCAAATGTGTTCGTTAACATGCTTAACGTATAACGTGAATGAAAGCCGATATGGCTAATTGTACTCTGGCTCATACAGTGTGATATGGATAGTCTTCACATTAGTGTTTACCTAGTAACCTACCTTGTAATCAAATTGCGTTTCCTCCCAGAAACTCTTTTGTTTCTGCTTCTGAGCTCCTGGCGTAGCTCAAGCAGGGTCCACAGTTAATAATTACGAGGAGGCATGATAATAAAATTAGACGGTAATGCAGATGAGAGTAGATATTCTGTTGTGATTTATATTGCAAACGCTGTAAAGACGCCGATGTGCGGGAGGTCAAGTGGCCGAGTTGCATCGCAGCGGCATCTGGTATTTTAGTACCGATACAACCCCATTGTCTAGCTACAAGTTCTGCCACTTGTATTAGTTGGATCACGTCTTTAGAGGCTTGTATATCAAGTTTTATTATCAGGCATGAGAATTTTCCGCAGATTCGCGGATTTCCGGGTTTTAGTTTTCATTTTGGTCATTCTTGAGATCGATGCAAAAAACTAATAAAAATTTGAGGGGGGATAAGGTTCTTTTCTTGTCTAAATCGACGCCATTTTTAATTTTAACTTAATAAAAAGTCAGGAAAAGTACGTGAAAAATACACAGAAGTGACGGAACTCCAGATAAATATCACAGGGTATCTATGTAACGTAAAGGGTTATACCCTATTGTCATGCGTACCGAAACTCGGTGACAGTGGTTCATAGAAAATGACAATTCAATGAAATATTTCTTCCAAAAACATCTCAACCAGTTCTCATGCCTGTATTATGTCAATTTTACAGTTGTAAAACCTCAATAGGGTGTTTGACTAAATGCATGTGTTGTTATAGGAATATCCACTGTTTGTGCTTGTCCCAGTGGCGCAGTGGGAACCCCACATACAAGGCGATTACCATTTACATAGCAGTACAGGTGAGCACTCGATCACACGTCTAGAATACACTACTTGCAAAAATAAAATAATTCCATGTCCAGCATCCAATGTTGATAAAGCTTCGAAAACTCAAGGTGTTTCGACTATCATTGTAGGGGCAGCGCTGGAGAATTTGAAAGTGGCAGCACTGCCAGTTTCCTGCGTAGAACCAGTAGAGAGACCGAGCAAGGTTGAGCATGCACTGCCAATTTTCAGCGTCGATATACAGTCTATGCTTATGTATGCTCTGATGGGCGATCATGCCAGCTTTACTCCGAGGTGAGAAGCGCGTCGAGAGGAAAAGCTATGCCCGTAGTTTCAGCCACATCCGTACGTGCAACTGCATGTCTGTCACTGCAGCCACATCTGTCATTTTGGCTGTGCTGGCAAAATCCTTTAGTTTTTTGCTACATGATGCACGTGTACTGCACTGTCATCGATGCACCCTGGAGGTCAGACTTACTAACTTGTTCTCGTGTCACAGGTGGTTCAAGCTTGCAAAATGGAATAGGGTCAGCCACATTGTGGTTACAGTCGTCGAAGACTTTAGTAAGGCAATGTACACCCAACACATGGACAGCCTTCCACGAGTAAATGCACTGTTTAAGCAGGTGAGAAAGGCAACACTGTTTTTAAACCACGAGTGACCAGACCCTGGGTGATATATTCGGATACGTCAATATTATATGCAGCTCTTTGGAAAGCTCCTATCACCCTCTACATACATGTGTGCATGTATGTCACCATATTTGAATGCAGGTGGCTAGCCTGCTTAGTTTGGAGCCAGGATGCTTATATGTCTTTGAGTGTCAGAGTTTTGCAATGCTTCATGCCTGTAAAATAGGCTAACGTTGTGTTTGGACTTTGCAGCAAGTAGAGCTTGTGGCGCCCTCATTATATGGAGGGAATTTCCTCGATGAACTTCTCACTGTTCCCTTGAGCATGTCCGTACGACGCAGATTCGGTGAGTCCAGGCTCATGACATACTATGAGCCCAGTAGTAGCCACTCCGTCCCACAGTAGTAATCGTAATGAGACTAACAGCCAGTATATGCTACATAAAATATTTCTGTGAGCAACGTGCAAAATTTTGTATAGCCTGTACTGGTACAAGCTAAACATATTCCTAATGGTTATCTAAGGTAAAGGTGGATCTTATGGAAGGTTTGTGAGTGAATGCACTTGCGATCATTCAAACATGATTCGATGGTCTCTCTATTACAGAACGTGCGTCGCGAGGTACCTCGACGAAACAGACTGCAGAGGGCGTTTATGCAGCCATGATGACCGTGAAGCTGCCTGAGCTACCGAGCGGCGATACCGCTCAGGCTTGTGATGAGGGAGATACTGAGCAGCCAGCGAAGGATGCTGTGGTTAACGAGGCGCCTGACGCCCCGGTGAACGTAAACGATAATTTCGACAGGACCTGGCTGATTATGAATCCAGAGGAGCTGGCCAGTGATAAGTACCCACTGCCTCTTAGTGGAGGTATGTATATCTGTGTGTGTGTGTGTATGCCTCACTTGTGTGCTGGTTTTGTTATGCGAAAGTTGCCAACAGAAATTTGAATATTCGGTGACTTAGACTGACAGCTGACTTTTCTGTCAGTCAACAGATATTCTTTAATTGTTTACGTTCTCCTGTGCTGTATGCAGATCCCCAGTGTGCTAGATACGTATACTCGAAGGATTACTATGAGCCAGTAACTTCAAGCAGCCCAATGTTCTGCATAGACTGTGAAATGGTGAGTTGATTAGTCTTAAATTATCTGCAAATTATCATAATAGAACAAAGGAAAGCTTAACTACAATCAACACTGTCAAATTATTTAAGATTAGTTGTTCAACTGAGACTATCAAAATCGTTATTTGACAAATGGGTTGAATTGCAAATCTAGTCGTGCATTTCCTGCTGCAGTGAAGTCATGAATCTATTCAGCTGGACCTGTTATCCACATCATTACCTCCGCCCAACGGAGTTGGAGGAGGTTATGTTTTCGCTCTCGTGTGTTAGTGTGTTCGTGTGTTAGTGTGTTCGTGTGTTCGCGCGATCGATATTAGCGCGTCGAGTCGTATGAGGGGTTTCAAGACACATTTCCCATCAACACGAGTAGTAGTGGATGGCACAGAGTGCCCTATCCAGAAACCCAAACAACCAATAGCCCAACAGGCTACATTTTCAACATATAAAAATCGGAATACTGTGAAAGTATTGGTAGGCATATCACCTGGTGGACTGGTTTCTTACATATCCCCTGCCTATGGTGGCTCAGCGAGTGACCGGCAGATCTGTGAACGGTCCAACCTAACAGAGATCTGTGATCCTGGGGATAGCATTATGGCCGATAAAGGATTTAATGTCCAAGATTTGTTTGAGCAAAACATGGTCACTATAAATATCCCCACATTCTTCAAAAAAACGAACAGACTGTCAGGTGCAACTGTGCTAAAGGACAGAAAGATTGCAAGCAAAAGAGTTCATGTTGAACGAGTAATAGGTCTTGCCAAAACATACAAAATTCTAACAAGACCCATGAGCAATACAGAATCAGCATTGGCAAGCGAGATAATATAAGTCTGCTTTTATTTGTGCAATTTCTGAGCATCCATCATTCCGGAAAATGCCTAACTGCAATCAATTTACTGGTCAAATGCAAAATTGTGGTAATTCCTATAGAAGAATGTATCCAGCAGGACTCTTCTGAAATGTTGCTCGTAAAAAGCTAACAGCTTGGCTACCATTTCCTGTATGAATGTGTCATCCCTGGGGATTTTTACTGTAACAAGGTCTTTGAGTGTGTACACCACTAGGAAACATAGCTTCCGATTTGCACACAGCAGCTGACCTTGTATTTGATAATAATAGCTATGGTTTGATTTTAGATGCAATGTATTGTCATGGCTGTACAGGTAAGGGACTGTGGATGGTGTGATGAGGTCATTACATGCTGTATATGGGCACTTTACCTCAACAATACTATCTTCATCTATAAACCTGTCTGGTGAGGCAGCCAGTTGAGGGTACTCTGTACTAATAAATATGCCACATTGCTGTGTAGCTATTTCCATCTCACTTTCAAACTTTTCTACTGCAACACCTTCATATTTTAGGCCATGAAGGATTGCCTTTGACCTAAGAGTTTTGGAGTGAGTGAGGGATTTGGCTAAAAGGTCCATATCTTTCCTCTCCGTTGCTTTGCATATTTCCCCGAAGTTGGAAGAGGTGAGGTGGTATGATCGCACGTCCATCCATCAGCTGTTCTTTGCTTGCCCACGGGTAGACATCTCAATTTCTGTGGCCTGCTCGGTGCTGATCTGTGTCACCTATGTAATAATACGAAATGCAAATATATCTTAAAAATGGTTTTCCAACTTGTTTGGGGTCAGTGACTGAGCTATTTGTTATGCTCATGCATCTTCCAAATTGTATTAGGTTTGATAGTTCATTGATGAATGTAAATTCAGCAACAGCGTACGTGCGCTTGCTCACCTCGGAGTAAGCTGCATGATCGCCCGCATCAGAGCATACATAAGGCATAGACTGTACTATCGACCGCTGGGAAAATTGGCAGCTGCATGCTGCAACTTGCTCGCGTTTTCTCTAGCTGGTTCTACGGCAGGAAACTGCAGTGCGTGCCACTTTCAAATTCACCCACATACGCCACGGGCGCGTGCCCGCACAATGATAAGTCGAAACACCTGTGAGTCTCGCAAGGCTTTCACACATTGGATGCCTGGACATTGGAATTTATTTCTATTTGCAAGAGTGCTGATTCTAGAACGTGTGATCGAGTGCTCACCAGTACTGCTATGGTAAATGGTAATGCGCCTGTATGTGGGTGTCCCACTGCGCCACTGGGAGCAAGGCAACAACAGTGGCATATTCCTATAAGCAGATAACACATGCCATTTAGTCAAACACCCTATGAGGTTTTAACAACTGTAAAATTGACATAATACAGACATGAGAATCGTTGATATGTTTTTGCCGAAGGAAATATTTCATTGAATGTCATTTTTCGTATGAACCACTGTCAACCGAGTTTCCGGTAGGCGCATGGAACCATAGCGCTAAAACCCTTTACGTTACATAGATTACCATGGCGATATTTATCTGAGACGTTTCGTCACTTCTGTGTATTTTTCACGTACTTTTCCTGACTTTTTATTAGTTAAATTAAGAAATGGCGGCGATTAGACAAGAAAAGAACCCTTATCGCCCCTCAAGATTTTTATTAAGTTTTTTGGAATCGATCTCAAGAATGACCAAAAGAAAACTAAAAACGCCGGAAATCCGCGAATCTGCGGAGAAAATTCCATGCCTGATAATAAAACTATATATACAAGCCTCTAAAAACGTGATCCAACACTAATACAAGTCGGCAGAACTCTGTAGCTAGACAATGGGGTTGTATCGGTACTAAAATACCAGATGCCGCTCGATGGGCAACTCGGCACCTTGACCTCCCACGATCGGCGTCTTTACAGCGCTTGCGAATATAAATCCGAGCAGAATACTCTACTCTCATTCTGCATTACGTCTAATTTATTATGCATGCCTCCTCGTATTATTACTGTGGACCGCTGCTTGAGAGCTACGCCAGGAGCTGCAGAAGGCAGAAAACAAAGAGTTTCTGGGAGGAAACGCAATTGAATTACAGAGGTAGTTACTAGGTTAAACACTAATGTGAAGACCTACATCCATAATCACACCTGCTAGAGCCAGCAGTACAATTAGGCCATATCGGCTTTCATTCACGTTATACGTTAAGCATGTTAACGCAACACATTTGATCAGTTTAGTGACATGTGTGATTAAAAGTTAAATCGCCAGCTACTAATAAATTCATAATTGCCTACATATCTAACGATTATATGAGGACACAGCGGTGTCAGCAGCGTAACAGTGCAAGTGGGGTGGAATCCGGTTACTGAATTAAACTCGTTAGACGTGAGTCTTATAATTATTACGACGCATTATGCTAGATTATCTATTAAAAGTCAACTAGAAGTTGACTCTTAATAGGGTGCTTTGTTCACGCTGAAACAAACCATGCCTAAAAATAAGTATGTGATATTAGTTATGACATTGAAGATTGGAGTTTTGGGATGCCACCGACAGGGACGGCAACGGAGACAGAACACGACCGCTACTCCCGGCTTCTGCGATGACCGTCCGCTGATGCTGTCAAGCCAAATACAAGGACTACGATGGGGGGATGCCAGCAAGTATTCCCGGTGCTGTACAATGCTGGCAAGAGTTGAGGAGTACTGGGGCAGCATAAACAAAAATTGACGAGAAAAGCGTGGCGCATCGTACAGAGGAAATATAAACTTACAGACCATTTGTACAATTAAACGTTTATGAATAGATAATATGAATAATAACAGAAAGCAATCGGATATTGATTACAGTATGAATGTTTTAACTACATTCCACACGATTTAGTTAAATATTCGATCTGAGGAGCGCTCCCTCTGGCCAACTCCATATCATACTCGTGGTACCCACCATGACCTCCATCACGCTTATCAGAAGGCCTAGAGTTGGGCTATATTTACATCATTGCCCCCCCCCCACTCGTGACGGAACAGATAAATAATAAATACAGATAGAAATGTTCCTTTTTTCTTTGTGTTCTCGAAGATATGTGCGCTCCATGCGTGAGCCCCCTCTCGCAGGATCAAACGGTTACATATGTTGTAGCCATGATTGGGCAGGAGATTGAAAAGTCTGCCTGCCTACAAAGAGACATCTGCATCGAAGCACTGACGGGGGTAATAGAGAGTGGCCAGTGCGAGTGTGGCGACGCAGGGAAAGCGACCGGCGGGCCCACTGCAAAGCATGTGGAGCCATCGCATGGAGCTGACATGCTTTGTCCGACTGGGAAATCGTAACCGAGCTAACATTGGTATCGAGGAATTTAAATTACAGAATAAAGATGGCATTATAAGTCCATGGATATTGAAACCGCTAAAATTTCAAATGTATCATTGCCTCCCCTTGGGTTCAATATAAAAAAATGTTTTAATCAAAAGATAGTGTTACTCTACTGAGTGGTCATCACATGTATACTGGTTATCTCCGTGGCAATTGGTGAAATTTGATTAATTTTTAAATATATTCATTAGACCAACTAAATAAACAATCCTTGGTGATTATATATTTACTGTACAGTCATTGATTGTTATCAAGTAGTGTAATTTGTCAAAATATCAACCAGAGAGAACATTTCTTTTCATATATACAGGTACTTCAAAAACGTTCCAACCGAGCGAACGCCTTCAAGGGGGTCCCGATAAGGCAGAACGATACCGCCGGTGTTCGCAAGGAAAGATAGGTGATCTGGCTATGACCCCAGAGCTCAGAAACGATACCGAGCAGCAGCCTACCAGTGCCTAAGATGTTTCGAAATCTCTCCATAAATTTCTGCCGTCAGGTAAATTATTGCTGTATCCTGCATTTGTTTTGAACAGTAATCATGTATAATAACATCTTAACAATATATGACTGCTGCGCAGCATCTCTTCTGTAGACTGTTACAAACAATACAATCAAAAACACTGTATATACTGATGACATGGAGGGGAAAATTCATTTTTATTTTAGCCATTACTCTCTATATAGGTTGCAAACGTAAAGTGAGCACAATGCTCTGTGATAAACAAAGTAATATTCATCTTTCAGGATGGAGTACAGATGCCAGTCCTCAACCTATCCCCCGCCTGCTAACCCTATGCTATT